GGCCCTGCAATCATTCATGAGTGAAGGCTCACAAGTGCACAAGAAATGCCTTGAGTGGAGAAGCTCTTTGTTTCATTGATCTCAAGAGGAAAAATTAAAGCATTTCCTTGATTCTCATGTTTAAAAAGTGCTAAATTTCATCTAGATCATACCCTCATTTTTCCTCCTCAAAATGTGGTCTCATGCTCCTTCTCTGTAATAAAATTATTCCAGTTTCTTCACTTGCTATTAGATAATTTCCTCTTTAAAAGTGTAAATTCTTCTGGGAGAGAAATTCATGGCACCATTTGATCCAGTGTTACACACTTTAATATTATTAAGCACTTAAAAAAACCTTCTAGTGACCATTAGCATTTTCACTGTGATGATAATTTGTTCATTTTTTGTACCACTTCAGCAGTAATTTCAGTTCAATAAGAAGCTTTGATACTTTTTAATTTGTTGACTGGACGAAGTTAATTTGCAGGGCACCCAGGGTTACAGGTTGAAATACCTTTCCTTGTGAACTGACTGCTTTTTGTCAACCTGAAATCCTTTTACCTGGTAATACAAATGAACTTCAGAAGTGGTAAGTTGCTACTTAACCTGAGTTCCCATCTGTTTCACTAAACAGATGAAGGGATGAAGGAAGGACTGCAAGGGTGAAGCAGAGGGAAAGTAGCCAGGCTGTGTATGCTTCTTGCTGCCCTTTGGATTAGGGCCACAACTATGCACAATACCCATTTTGCTAGATGTAAAGGACCACACACACACACACACGCCTGTTACATAACTGTGTGGTAGAGGTGTTGTAACCCCCCTCATAATCGAACACGCAGCCAGAGCATGGCTCGTCACAGGTAAAAAGCATGGTCAGGGTGTCCTGTTCGCGTGAGAACAAGAACAAGGTTGTGCACGCTACGCAAGGCTGACAACAAAGCAGGCTACGCTCCAGCATTACCGCAGACGTTACGCCCTTGTACCCTCGCTTGCTTGCTTTAGCATGATAAATGTGCAAATGGGGCTTGGTGGCTTTCCCCTATTGTTCGCTGTTATTCAAGCATAGTTGTAAAAGGGTATAAAAACCGCTGCCTTCCTTCTGCTCGAGACTGCATTCTAACGAGTGTGGTCCCTGCAGGTAATAAAACTCCTCTCGAAAATTCCAACTGGTCTCTGGTCTCTTCAGTAAAACCGCGGCACACAACAAGAGGCAAATTCCCCCCTTAGAGAAGGCCTGGATCCCACAGTTCTGAAAGAGACCATAGGCAGACTCTTATCAAAGGAATGTAGTGGCTCCATTTAGAAACATAGAAACAAAGAAACAGAGCGAGTCAGAAGGGGCCTCCCAGGCCATCTAGTCTGACCCCCGGCTCCGCTCACGACATGCCCACCATGTGCACGTCCAGCCTATCCTTGAACACCCTCACTGATGGGGCCTCCACAACCTCTCGTGGAAGCCCATTCCACACCCTTGGGGTCCTAACTGTCAGGAAGTGTTTCCTAGCATCCAAATGGAACCTTGGTTCCCTGAGTTTGCTCCGTTGGCGTGCGCCCTGCCTTCCTCTGCAGTGGAAGAGGAAGTTTCTTTCTCTCTGTAGATTTCCCAATTCCTCTTTCAAAAGTTATTGAAAAAGTGGTTTGTATAAAAGCCTGACTGGACTGGTCAACCTGGTTCAGGGCACATGGACCTGGAAAGTCAGACTCTGAAGGTGTGCTTGCAGACTGCTGTTCTGTCCCATGGGGTATCAAATAGCTTGACTTTTAATATCCACATGAAACCTTTGGGTGGACTCATCCAGAGAGTTGGTGTAAATTCTCACCAGTATGCAAACAACACACAGCTCTACCTCTTGTCCCTGTTGTGTGATCTCAAGGAAACAGTGGAATAAAAGACCACTGTGTGGGATCATTTGGAGAGTGGATACTGGCTAATATGCTGAAATGTAGTCCAGAAAAGGCAGGAGAACCATTTGCCAAGAGCACTGGCAATCTAGGCGAGCAGTTCATCCTGTCCTGCACGGCATTGCACTCCCCTTGAAGGAGCAGACAGGTAGGTCCTGCCCAACTGATCACTTGTCTTGGCTGTTTAGGGGGAAACAGGTGTAAGAATGCCTTGTATGAACTTGGCTGTTAGATCAGCTACAACCGTATCCGAGGGAGCAAATCTGGGTCCAGTCATCTGTGATTCAGCTACCTCCAGGCTAGGTCATGGACCCCCCCTTTTGGCTCAGCCCAGCTTTTGTCTGGCGCTCACAGGTCAGAACATGTAACTCTGATCTTATGTCCTCTCCACTGGCTTCCAATTTGCTTGTGGACTCAAGTCAAAGCATTGATTCTAGACTTTCAAACACTAAATGGTTCAGGATCAGGAAATATTTGGATCCATATAGGCCTGCCCAGGAATTAAGATTCCTGCCAGAGGCCTTGCACTTGGTGCCTTCCTGGATAATTCAGTGAACCCAAGAGGCAGGGCTGAAATGGAACCGGTTCCCTCCTCTTTGTGCCTTTTACAAAAAATTGAAGACTCTTATGTTTGATAGACTTTTAATGTGTGAGACTTACTTTTATTGTTGCTAGTTTTATTGTATAATAGCTTTGCTCTTGCTGCTGCTAGACTTGTGTTTTGCTTTAAGTGCCAGTAGGATTTTAATAGCTTCCAGAAATTCATCTTTGTATGTCCATTTTTATTGACCATATGGTTTTATGATGATGTTATATGCTACTCTGAGTACTTTTAGTAGAAGAGTAGGAAGTAAAATAGAAAGCTATTTCATTATACTATGCATTCACAAAAGCGTTGGCTATCGTAAGGGTCCCTGTTAGCAGAGCAAGGTTCAGAGAGATCCAGAAGAAGTGAACAGGGATTTTATGAGGGCTCGGTTGCAAGGGTCAAGAGGAGCTACTGCCATGCTCTAGACTACATGGTCCTTCTGCTTGAAGTGAGACGCTGAGCTCATTGGAAGCAAGACGAGCAACTACACAGCTTGGTAAATAGCCTGCCAGTCTCAAGGAATTTGGGAATAAATAAGAGCAAAGTGGAATCTTCATGTAGGAGAAAGGTGGGGAAGTTTGATGTAAAGTCCAGGCTTTAGGATGGTCTTGTGGGGCAGCACAGTTTTATAAGCACAAGGGAGAGCCCCAGTAGACAAGCCATCTCAATTCCACTGGCAAAGCATCAAGATAATCAGTTAAGCATGATTAGCAATGGAGCACAGAGGCCATTTGGACAGCTGAAATTGAGGGGCGAAATTGTGATGACGAAAAAGTGGTTATTTATGCAGATAATTTATTTGGCACTATAGAATGACTGGAAACAAGCTGGATCTGTAAAAAAAAGATATGGTTGAATCAGAAAGGAATGAGTCTGGGGAAGGTCAACATCAGAAAAATGGCAGAGCAGAGGAAAGGCAATTGGAGGTGGGAAATACTGGGAGATGATTCATCCCCAGGAGATAAGGATGAAAATATATTTGATTACCCAAAAAAGGATGAAGTAGAATATGATACTACAGACCTTAACTACTTAAAGAAGCCAAAAGGATAAAAGGAGAAAAAGCACACACCAGAGACATTTGGAAAGGGATACCATGTATATGCATTTCTGTGCTAATTTTAAAAGCCCCTGAACATAGTGGGGGAAGTTGGAATGTTTGGTTCAATAGAAGAGTATTCATATAAGGAGCATAATGGACACTCAAGGAAGCTATTACAGAAGAGGGTTCATTCAGAAAGTGAAAGTCTTGCCCAAACAAGGAGAAAAAAGAGGAACACGAATTTGCACAAAAGAAGTACAAGCAGACAATTAGGAATATAAAAAAATAGCAGACAAGCAGACAATTAGGAATATATATGCTCTATAAATAAGCTATTGCAGAGCATATTGCTAATAACTTTAAGACAAATAAAAATATTTACTACAAATAAATCAGGTAAGTGGCTAGGAAGGCAGTTGGACCATTGGATGATGGAACTAAAGGAGCACTAAAGGTGCATAAGGAGATTGCGGAGAAGCTAAATTAATGCCTTGCTTCTGCTTTCACTACAGAAGATGGCTGGGCCCAAACTGACATTTTCTGACAGCACTTCATTCTGGAGAATGAGCTGTAAGATGGCAAATGCAGTTATGCATCCTGGACAAAAATATCCTAACTTTACATTTCTGCTAGTGGAGTCTAACCAGAAAGGGGATCTTGGTGTTGTGTTGGATACCTCAATTAAAATGTCAACAAACCACCTGGATGCTGTATTCCATACTGCGCATCTTTAGCAAAGACATAGAAAATAGGCCTGCTAACATTTTGATGCCTTTATTTAAAGTTATAGTGTAACCCCAGTTGGAATTTTATTTACCATTCTAGTCACTGTACTTCATAAAAGATACTGTGCAGCTAAAGAAAGTGAAGAAAAGGACAACCAAAATGATGAAAGGTCTAAAGCACCTGCAGTTTTTTAACTTAGAAAAAAGGTGAGCAAAAGGGGACATTAAAGAGGTGTAAAAAAAAAAAACTATGAATGATATAGCAGAGAAGGTGGGCAGGCTTCTCCTCCTCCTCTCTCATAATACTAGAATGGATGCTCATCTGAAGAAGCTCAATGGTTGGATGACAAAGGGAAGCACTTCTTCAAAGACTTCAAAGCACTTCTTCAAAGGGAAGCTAGACTATGAAATTTGCTTTTGCAAGATTTAGTGATGGCTGCCAATTTGAATGGCTTTAAAAGGGGATTAAACAAATGAATGGATGTCAAAGGTATCAGTGCCTACTAGTTATGATGGCTATAAGTTACCTCCAGTATGGGGAACATGAGTGGGGGGATGTCTCCACTTGGACATCAAGCTGGTCATTGTGGGTAGAGGATGGTGGACTAGATAAGGTTTTGGTTTGATCCTGTAGAGTTCTTGTGTTGAAAGATTAGAAATGTAGACGTGAAGTTCCTGAGAAATCAGAATATTTCTCAAAACCCCTTTGAGTGAAATGGTGTCCTTACTGCATCACACTGACTGAACTTTGAACCAGCTTCTTATTGGCCTGGCCATAATATGCACACAGATGTTATAACACAGTCAGCTTACTCTCATCCATGGTCCCTTGAATATGCAGGGTCATTGCCGCTTGGTAGTCTCCAGGTGAACCATGGGGATGACTTGGAAGCTTTCTGAGATTCTGACCAATCCCTCTGTTGCCCTTCTGGCTGTAAGAGCCGCTGCTGTTCTTGGGGGAGATGGTCTGGCCCCTGTAGACTTGAGCTTGATATTCACATAATCCAAACTTGCTAAGCAAGATGAAAACATCTCTTCGGAAAGCTTTAGTAAAGATGGCATAAAGGAATGGGTTAGCACAGGAGTTGAGTGGATAGAAGAGGACCAGCAGGATTTTTGAGTTACTGACTGTTATCAAGGGTTTGTTCATAATAGCAGACAAGGCATAGAATGAGATTGGCGCCATGCACATGAAGTCAGTAAAAATCAGCACAGCCATCCTTTTGGCAATGATGGTGTCTTTGTCCCCTGACTTGTATTGGGGGTGACGCACAGTGACATAGATTTTTATGTAGCAGGCACAAATGATGGTGAAAGCAATGATATTCAACATTAAAACAATTACAATGTAGGCTTGATCCAAGGCTGTTTCAGTATCCATGGGAAGGCAGATACTGACTTTCCCGTAACTGCTGACTCCAACCAACGGTAAAAGGGCAAGAAAGAAGCACACTAGCCAGCCACCCAACATGATAACAGAAGCATGCCAGAGACGGATTTTCTTGTCCAAACGCATGGCAAAAGTGATGGCATACCAGCGTTCCAAAGTGATAGCAGTCAAGGTGAATACAGACAACTCGCTAGCAAAGACAGTGAAAAAGCCAGCTGTGTTGCAACCAGGCCCAGTCTGCCAATCAATGGCATGGTTGTAGTACTCCGACCTAGTGTAGAGGTCTACTGAAGCAATCAGGAGAAGGTATAATCCCATACAGAAATCAGCAAAGGCCAAGTTACACATGAGGAATCGTGGGACAGTCAACTTGTAATGGCTGGTGAGTAGAATAAAGAGAACAAAAACATTGCCCAGAATGGCCAGCAAGTTCACAAACCATACCACAATCCTCAGAAATTTGTAGCCCATCACATCTTCACAAGGGTTGAACTCATCAGGACCAGGGGTGCAACTAATATCGTCAGCACTTGCACAGATAACATAATCATAATGGCTGTCAAATGCTGGAATATTATCTGCTTGTGGGTTCTTGAGTTCTTCACCAAACCCAACCACTCTATTTTCATGCTCTTCGAAAAAGACATAAAAATGAGAATTCTCATGAACATCTATAAATTTGGAGTTCTCATCATATACAGCATCGGTCTGATCAGAATAATCTTCTGCATAATCTTGGTAAATGGGGCCCCTGAAGACATGAGCAGATCTTCTTTTGCGGAAGTTGTGATTGTCAGTTTGATTGCACAACAAGGACTCTAGAATTCTGAAAAGCACAGAGGTAGAATCACCATTGGAAGTGGTAGCTTGTCTTGAGCAAAGCAACTGAGGCAATGAGAGATGTCATCTAGGCATAAGGACACCATTCTCTAAAATTTGAACAATTCCAGCTTTGTATCCAAGTTATATCTCTAGGCATTTTCATAGCATGCTATTTGCATTTTAATTGGATAACTCGTTGCTTTAACAATCTATTATAGGCTATCAAATTGTTTTGCAATGGTATTATACTAGACTGTGTGTGTATGCCCTACACACACACACACACACACACACATTTATACACTGGCTTTCTATTCCAAAAGTTATAGAAACATTGCAAATAATAACAAAGATAAGCCAGATTTACTCATGGTTAGTGCAGCCCCACTGAATTCAATGTGACTTAAGTTAGCCGTGACTAACATACGACCCATTTAATGAGTGAATCAGGATCCAAACCCTTAAATCTAACCATCGTACATTAGAGCAACAATGTAGTATAAAAAGCCATCAATTTGGGTCTAAATTAGATTGATAGGATCTCTTCTCTGTAGTAGATTTGCATGTACATATGTCAGTCCTCCCAAGGTAGGGATATGGCTGTCTCTGCTCCCTGAACCAGCATTTGCATCTGTCTCCTACTGGGGGAACTGAGTGTTCTAAAAAAAAGTAGTCGATCTCATAAACCTGAAGTCTGTCCTGCCAGCCTAAATGTTAATAATCATGGGCCAGCTGATGATGTTTGGAGAGTCCTTACAGAGTTGGGGTTCCAGGTCAGGAATGGGCCCTTGAGGGAACCACCTCCTTCTTTATCTGCCCCAGTTGTGAAGGAAGAAATAGAGGAGAGGTTGCTCAGAAGATTATCTCAAGTGCTTGCCCTGTTCCTTGCAGGATGTTCTTAAGCCACACTGGTCTCAGACCATTAAGAATGTAATCTAAATTTTAATACTGACCCCTTGGCTTTCTTCCAGTTCTTGAAAGCACAGCAGTGGCTTGGATATGACAGAGCAGCATGAGTTAGATAAGGAAAAGTCTTTATAGGGGGGAATTTCTTCAGGGTCCAGGTATTCCGAGCCATCAATTCTTTAAGGTTTTCCAGTCCTCTTTCTGGCAGTGTAGTGATGCCTGTCTGGGAGACATCTCTGAGAATATGCATAGAGAAAAATGAGGGAGAATTTATTAGTCCATATTTCACACATGAAATGTGCATTTCTTACAGTTATAGGCTATTGCAAACTATGCAAAATTAAAATGTCTAGACTGAAGTCATAAAACATGAGTAATTAGGCTTTCCAGTTCTCATTTAACATAAAGGCTTGAAAACCCTAACAAAAATATATTTCATCAACAGACCTATCCTGCTCAGATTAGAGAATCATATTACTTTCCATTGATACTTTCATCACAATATTTGCTCTAATATTCTTAAGTGCTGTGGCAACTAACACAACATCTATACATTCTGAAAGTATGCATGCCATTACATCATTTGTTGATCACCCCATACATTGAGGCACATAAGATATGGTCTTTGCCCAAGGAGAATTCTGACATGGACAGAACGATAAATAATCAGCTAGATCTTCCATGCAACCACCTCCACAAATACATAACCTATCCCTCAAAGGAAGGTGAAGGTATATTTCTTTCAGGTAAGAAGCTGGCATCCTTTTAAATTAATTTTTATCATGAAATTCCAGCAAACCAGAACAAAAAAGAGGAAAAGAAAAAAGTGGCAATGTAAATTTAAATATCGCAATGACTTCTGCTGAAGTCTAAGTTTTGTGAAATCTTGTGGGAAAGAGATATTTTGTACATAGTTCACATCAAGTATCTTTTAAGTTGCAACAGGGACAGGAAGGGGAATAGGCTGGGGCTGAGGCCTTATGCCCATTCCAGTCAGTGCCTCTTGCTCCTTCCATCCCCATCCCTGGTACTTCATCTAGACTTCTAGGAGTGTCTGTCTCATAAAATGCAGTGCACAGGGTGAAGCAGTGGTGGAGGCTGTCACACCGTAACTCACTCCTGCCAGTGGAGTTTGGCAGTTTAGATTAAGCTGCCATGGAGGCAATAGGATTGTGCCCGAGAAACCTTTGCACACCTTTATTAAGGCTCTGGCCACACTCACCATGATCAAGCCAGCAGAACACACAACGTAATATCCCACACAAGAGCAAATGAAGCACATTTCAGTTTCAGTGTGGGATTTTTGTCACAGATGTGTGTTATCATCTTTAAAGTATATGCAGTGTTAAGACCTTTACATGCCAGCTCCTCATATTAACAACAACCATTTTCTGAGTAGGGGAGCGATCATTCAAATGTATGGTTTTTTCTGATGTGTTTCTGTATCACTCAGATGTTTCTTACTAAATAACTAAATTCTGAGTAAGCAAACTGAAGTGTTCTTCCAATGTTTTGAAAAGCTATGCGTTAGACTACTATAGTGAACTCACTGTAAAAATGGGCAGTGAAGAGATCAGGGCATTAGACATCACAAAAGGCCTGCACTGAAAGATCTTGAATGAAAAAACACATAGTTAAGGAGGGTGCTATTCATTCCAGTTTGCCAGCACTCCACACAAGTGTCTTTAGAACAAATTGAACTAAACTCCTGAACAGTTTCTTAGACACAGAGTTTATTTGTCTGAGTAAATTAGCCATCCAGGGCCACATATTTGAGACGCTGCACTGCACTTTACACAGACTTAGAGCTGTTTAAAAGCTCTACATGGGGAAACAACATTCTTCTCTTGGAATTCTGACCATTCATAAATGAGACATGGCTCAACCAGCCTGAGTCCTTTCAGATTCAAGATCTGCTTGCACTCACAAACTTTCTTCTCTTTGAAGTCTGGTAAACCAGAATCTGGATAGTCCTACAGATAATCAGGCTACTTAGGATGCAATTCTAAGCCTGCTAGATGCTGTCTGGCTGGCCATAGGAACAGGCAGGGCCCTGCTGAGTCCTCCAAGGTGCTAGCAAGACCTTGGTCTCTGGTGGGCCCCGCCTCCGCCCTTGCAGGTGGTGCTTGCAGTCTTTTCCGCATCAGTTGTACCTCCGAAGACAGAAGAGCTCTTCAGAGGAGATGCTGGAGAAAGCACTGGGGCAGAAGGGAAGAGGTTGGCCTGAGAGTCCATGATGGGCACCAAGGCTGGAATCGTATTCCCGCTTCCCTGCAAGTAAACCCCAAACGGACTCAATGGGATTTATTTCTGAGCAGCTGTGCAGAGTATGGGTGATGGATAAAGAAAACCAGCATAGATATTAAGGAGTCACTGAGTCAGGTGAACCATGAGGTTCTTTCCAGTAACAGCTTTCCAATCTCTTCAGCTTGAACCCTTCCCATTCTACTGACACAGCAGGAGGAGTGAACTGAATTCCATCCTATGTGTGGACAACCAAATACTGCATAACAGAACTCTGCTTAACTAATATTATCATGAAAGCCTTTAGGGTCTAGAAAAGTCCAAAGTTCTCAAGTCACTTTCTATGAGACAGTAAAATAATAACCGCACTAGGATTAAAAGCTGGATGAACAAACCAGGTGATGTAATATTAAAAGACTGTATTCTCCTCTCAACGATCTTTTACAAAGGCTGTGAGGTGACTCTAGGAACGCTAAGTGTCAACCAGAATACAGAATGAGACTTCTAAAATAAAGTATTCTTTTCAAATTCCGTGATTTCATGGTGGTGGAATGTTACACAGTACACCTTCCAGCATCTTAGCTTTCATTGAAAAAGGATAATACTCACCCAGATGTTTACACTTTCTTCAGAAACATATGGTTCTGACCACTGAGAAAACCAGAACCCTGGTCCAGATGGTCAATGTTGAATCTACCCTGATCCTTCCTAATTCAATAAAAATCTTCAGTAAAAATGTTAATGCTATAAAGCACCCTTCCCCAGCTGGATGTCCTCCAGTTGCTGTTGGACTCCTAACTCCCATCAGCCCCTGAAGTATGACCAATAGTCAAGACTGCTGAGATTTGTAGTCGAACTACCTGGAGGACTACCTGGCTAGGGAAGACGTACTATTTTGCTTAGGCTAGATGACCAATGCTTATGGTTTAGCATATCCTGGTGGTTGACAAGGATAAGATAGGCTACACATCACAGCTGTCATATGGAGGCAACTTTAAATTACCTCTCTTAGTGTCTCTCTTTGTAACAATCCATTCCTGTATAGTAGCTCACTGCGCAAGCTACACTTTCTTAGCTAGGCCATGATGTTGCATGCATCCCACCCCCACCCCCCACCCTGCAGCATCTGTGGTAGCATGAAGAAAGTATCATTGTTATAACGCCTAGAAAACGCTTCCCTAGAGCCCCAGAGTAGATTTTCTGGAGAAGCATACCTGCTGCTCTTGAGATGTTTAAGATGACGACTCCCCTCATTTCTACAAATTTCATCTTCCTTTCAGCACCCATTTCACAAAAGGCAAACAGAAGAGGCTTGGGCACAAATAACCTGGGCAAGAAATCAAGAAGTGTGTGTGTATGTGGGGGGGGGGGATGTTCCTCAAATGCACAACCTCACAAAGCACAACAAAGCATCCATTCCACCACAGAAGGTGAGGTGTTCCAAAGGCAAACTGGTGATGTTCAGAGAAATATATCCACTTGGCACAGGCAAAATATTTCATGTCTACATGTTCCCCTTTGCCATGATGCATAGACTTCCTCAGCGAAGATGTCCATGTGAATGCGTGGCTGGCAGGGTCAGGACCAGGCTCTTGTAGGATGCTGGTGCAACTGGCTGCATGCTGTTCCTGCCCCCAACTACATACAGAGAACTAGTGAACAGGGCAACAAAAAGCCCTACTCAATTCCATTTGATCTATGAAATATGAAGATTATAATAATGTCATTTGCTTATCATATTCCTGAAACTTTCAGGCTGTCTCAGAGCTGAAAGAAGCAATCTAATTTGAGGCCTAGTTTTGATCAGGTTGTACAGATTACATATTTTGGCAGAACCTATTTGATGGATAAAAAAATTGGAACTACCAGGTTCTGTTCTAAACCTGAGCAGCATGTGTGTGTGTGTGTGTGTGTGCACGCGCGCATGCACACACACACATACACACACACAAAGAGAGGGAGGGAGGGAGGGAGGGACGGCTTCAGTTTCAGCAACTTTTTTGAGCTATGTTATTATGTGAAGAAAAGCCTTGTGGCATCCAAATGTTTCATGAAGTCCCATTAAATTAACTGTGGTTCATACCTATGTAAAAGAACATAGAACTGAAGCTTAGAAGAAAATAAACCTGACTGATAGGACACAGTAGGACTTCTCTGTAAATATTATATGATTGCACAAGTTGTCAAGTAATAGGATTTCTACAGTAATTAGGAAACCAGCTATGCCTTGGTAGATTTATCTGTATAAGGTAGATTCAAAGGCCAATTTTCTAGGAGTGTGGGGTAGGAGACCAAGAAACTCTAATCAGGATAGCTGAATGCCAAGCAAATAGAAGTAAATAAAAATCCACATGTACGTAATTTAGACATTGACATGACATGTAACTTTATTATTGAGGAGAAAAGGCATCAAACTCAAAATCAATTTTTTTACAATTGGCTTTTAAAGAGATTGGAATTTAATTCCTTGTTTTTAACAGATATTTGATTTGGCATGTATAACTTTTATTTTCTTGCATAATCTTGGACATAGCCATTTTTACAAATTCTGAAGCTCAGCCAATATCAAAATAATCATGTTTCTTTAAAATTGTAGCCAAAAAAGAATCCTTTTGCAGTTTGTTTGTTCCATGAACTCCTCAACTGCACTGTTGTACTATATCTTTATTGCCCTACATAACTTGGAGAGAGTGCAATTCCACAATCTCTGGGAGGACATGTTTGAGACCCTGGGATTTGTGGATCTTCTTTTCCATGAGCAGAGAGGGAGGCCCACACTCAGAAGTTTCTACCAAGCAACCATAGAAAACTCATTGATCTGATGCACTGAAAGCAGAAAGAGAAAGCAACAGGAAGGAGTTTGGGGGTTCCTCAAACTCATGCAAGCTCCAGAATTGCTACAATTTCCCTCCAGCCTCAACCTCTCCCTACTGTTTCCAACCTACTGGAAAAACCCTAGTAGAGCCTTGCTTCTCCTGCTCCTGTCACCCAT